CCACCAGCCAGCCCTGCAGGACACAGCTGCCCCCACAGAGGTGGTTTCAACTTTCCTCAAAAACCTGCGTGCAGCAAGGCCACCCCTTCCAGGACGAAGGAGAGGGAGCGGAGGTTTTGCCTACCTGTGGATGATCCCCAAGGCTTTGTAGATGGCCACTCGCCCGCTGCCCTCCTTAGACTGCCCGTCCCGCTTGTCTTTGGCGTACATGTTCTTCTCCGAGAAGTTACAGCCCGTGAAGTCAAAGTGAGGTGAGTTCAAGGAGATGAGTTTGGGGAACAGCATGTTCTCCACCTGCGATGCACGGTGAGGAACGTGGGTGACTGGGGGGAGCCTTTGGCTGTGCATCCTGCTCCAGCGCTACCAGTGCCAAGCTTTGGGATGCACTGGGGTGTTGGCTGACGCTGGGCCCACTCTGCCCAAGTCCAGTGTCTCACACACTCCAGCCCTGCCCGGGCGACGCTGCCCACCCCCGCCTGCCCCCTGCCCATCTCCAGCAGGGAGAGGCAGCAGCTGGGCTGTCCCGACAGCCTGCCCGCAGAGAGGGGGGAGCCCAGCAGCACAGCTCTCCTCGCATCCCACCCCTTGGGAGAAGAAGGGACAGCTCTTCTGTTCTCCCCACGCCAGCTCTCAGGGGGGAAAGCTGAGACCTGCTGCGGCTGCTCCGATCACAGCCCTGGGAGAGGAGAGCAAACCCCACCGAGCACCAAAGGCAGGGAGGGCAGCCAGCCTAGCGCCCTCTCCTCCGGCACCAGCCCTGTCCCCACAGGGAGCTCGGTTTCTGGTGTGACAGGGACCTCCCACCTCCCTCTTCCAGCGTTCAGGCCCCTAGGGAGGGGGCAGAGTGGCGAGAGGGTCCCAGCCAGCTCCAGCAGCTCTGTACTCCTACCCCCGGCCCTCACCTGATCGTTTTCATCACTGAAACTGTTGCCGTACATGAAGCAGCCGCGCTTGGAGGCGTGCCCGTGGAGATCGATGTAGTAGGCCAGCCCGCTGTCCTGGGGCAGGATGGTTTCGGGGAGAGGTGGTGGCGGAGGCCTCCTGGCTTCCTCCTCACAGTGCTCTGCGGTGCGGCTCGAAGGGAGGATCCAGACAGGATCCTTGCTGCCCCGCTCAGAGGCAGGCACTCCCGAGAGCCGGGGTTCCTGAGAAGGGCTGAAGTACATGCTGGCACGCCAGGCGCTGGGCGAGTTGCGGAGGTTATTGGCTTTCTCCAGCTCTGACAGGGCAGCCTCTGGGGACGGGGCGCTGCTGCGGATGGAATGGTTGGAAGATTTTGTGCTTAGCAAGCTGGTGCTGAGTGGCGAGACGTACGTCCTCCAGTCAGGAGAGCCTGGCAGGACGCGGCTGTGAACGTGGTGGTAGAGGAGGACAGCTTTGGCCCCGTAGACCGCAGGGTGCAGCTCGGCGTCAGGGTTGAGATACTGGCGGTTCAGGTTTACCCCACGGGAGTCGGTTCTGCAGAGCGAGCAGAGGAGATGTGAGGTCCTTTGGACAGTGCCCTCCGTTCCGCAAAGGCAGACCTGACCTTACCTCCTAATGGCTGAGGCTTTGGGCTCTATCCTGGGGGACAACTGGCCAAACCACCCCCTCGCGGGCAAGCGGGCAGAGGCTCTGCCCCAAAGCAGCTGAGAACCTCTCTCCTGGAGCAGCACTTGCCTCAGTGAGACAAAGCCCCAAGCGATCTCCCTCCCTCCTCCCTGAAGCCAACACGCCAGGGACAGGATAGCATCTGAGCGCCTCAGGCACGGGGCAGCATTGCTCGCCCGAGCTGGAAAGCCCTGATCCAGGAGGTGACCTACGCAGGCAACAGCAGCCCCAAGCCCTCGCCAGAGATCCCGGGGGGTAGCAGGGAGAGGTTGCTGCAGCCCGCGGGCCTCAGCTCACTCTTCTACCGACACAGGATCTCAGGGCTGCCCTTCAGAGCCACGGCGAAACGCACCACGGGCCCCACACCAGGAGCACAGCCCACCTTGAACCCCGACGAAACTGCAGCTGCCGCCTGCGCTCACTCACCGATAGTGACCTCGCACCACCCCGTCGGGGTTCAGCATGGGAATGAGCTTAAAGACGAACATCCGCCGCAGCATCTGCGCGCGGGGGTCCTCCTCACGCAGGATGAAGTCCAGGAAGCCGTTGAAGACGAAGCTGGAGGGTGTTTCTCCTGGGTGGACTCTGCTGCTCAGGAAGAACACCTGGGGGCAAACAGACAGGGGCGATGGGCAGGTTCCCGCCTGCCCCAAGGTGCTGGGGGGCCAAATGCTCCCTGGGGCTTCTCCCCTGCACCACAGCCACGCACCACGCTACCCGAGGTGGAGCTAAAGCCTTTAGGTGGAGCAGACAACTAGGCACCGGGTGCGGCAATACAAAGTTTTCAGTGACTTCTCCACCCAGTGCCTCTCCTAGGTTCTGCTTGGGATAAGGCTGGTTACCCCTGTGCAAGACTAAAGGCACAGAAACCCCGCAGGCTGCTACCAAGGGAGACCAGAGCACCAGCAGCAGAGAGGCCGAGACGCAGAAGCACCCCAGGGAAAAGCCCCGAGCGATCCTGCAGAGCGGGGAACAAGCCGGACAGAGCCCCTCCGGAAGAGCCCTTCTCTCAGTGGGAGCTTCTCAGCAAGAGATGTGCGTGCAGCCCCGCAGCCGCCCATCCCAGCTCTGGGCAGCCGCAGAGGGAGGTCCCTGCCCGTCCCTGTCCCCAGCAGGCAGGGCCCACCTACCGCAGCAGGGGCTGACGCCCCAAATACAGCACTTCCGTCAGTTTCTTGATGGCTTAATGGAGCAACGGCATTAAAAGGAGAACAGAACAAAACTACTAGGAAACGAGACGCTAAGTTTTGCCCCAAGGAACACACATGTGGTGCTATCAGAGGGCATTTCAGGGTGCTGAGGTGATGCAGATGCACTGGGGCTCCTGGCAGGCGACTGGAGCCTGTGCCTGACACGGGATCTCACAGGCTCTCTACTCCCCACGCTCCGCACAGTCAAACGCCCCAGCCCTCCAGGACACGACACGTTACAAGCCAGAGACGCGAGGGTGGCAGCAAGGCCCCGACACACGGACCATCACACAGCCTGCTAGCTGCGCTTGCCATCCCCAACGCAGCCCCAACGCTGGCGCAGCAGCTCACCCTCTTCCCTGCAAAGCGGCGCGGCCGTGGAGTGGTCGTGTCTGGGAAGAGCTTGTCCAGCCGGGGCTCCCGCTTCTCCAGCATGCCGTGGCACGAGGTGACGGTGAGCAGGTCCACTCGCAGCTTGTCCAGGGAGTGGCAGAGCAGCTCCCGGTGGTAATAGACTGAGTCGAGGGGGCTGCAGGGGGAGGAGAGATGCTCAGCCAGCCTGCCCCAGTCAGCCGGCAACGCCTGGGTCAGGGCCTCCCCCTCCAGTGAAGAAAGTGGCTTGGCTGGGGCAGCTGCTGGAGATGCCCTTCAGGAGTGAAGGGGGGTCCCAGCTGGGCAGACAGGGGATGCTCACCTATGGCCCTCCCGCTGCTTGTCTGTGCCTGTATCCCTGCTTGCTCTGCTCCCCAGGAGTTCAACAGCCCCAGCCCAACCAGAAACACCAAAACCT